TAGCAAAGGGGTTAAGCACATATAAAGCTGCAACGAAGAAAAAAGCCAATTGAAAGTGCAGTGAATTCCCCTTTTAACTCTTCCGTGTATAGAAGGGTGGATGGGAATCGATTCGATACCATATCGAACAGCCAGGCACACATATACCATACATCCAGACGAATCATTTTCAATAGATTTTGGTGTGTATAGAGGCTTCGGCAGATCCCGGATTTTGGCTCAAAGTAATTACTTAGAACAAGTAAATGTAACTGCGGGAAAACGAAATCGTTATATCGGCTGTTCCGACATTTTAGAATTTAACAAAATGACACTGAAAGTCGACCCATACACAGTGTCTAACATAACTTTTAAGACTGTGGCTATAAAATCGGTAGTACTAGCGCTATCTTCAAAAAATTTTGGGAACTAGTTACTAAAAGTGTAGTGTTATACCAGGGCCGTAGCCAGGGCTCAGCATTGATCAAATGAAGAGTAAAAGAAAGATGAGCCCCGGTAAAAATTCTACTAATCGATTACTGAAAATTTATTTGACCCGTCAATGTCAATGTACAGCGTGTTTTCACTTTTCCATAAATTTGCTGTCTTTTTTGTCTTCATTGAAAATTTCCATAATGATCAGCAAAGAATATGCCAATTTTTTTAATTGTTTTCCTTACTTGCGATACCGCTTACAACTTTCAATTCAGACTTTTATTAAATTAGTTCAATTTTTGCTGTGAATACTATGTAGTTTTATAAGTAAACAGGCCAAAAGTAAATCAACCGAAAGTCTCTAAACAGTGATATTTTGTTTGTTTGTTTGTTTGTTTGTAAAACGTATACGAGGTGTGTAAATTAAGCAATGAGACTGGCAACGTAGCACCCGATCTAGCAACACTGTGAGACTCCAGTACAAGTTTAAACTTGTTAAAGTCATTTGTTTGTTCTTTGTGACTGTTTTCATAAACTGATTGTTTCTAGTGCATTTCAAAAATGAGCAATGTCATTAATTTTGAGCAACGAAGTGCCATCAGGTTTTGCTTCAGATTTGGACACAGCGTAAGGCATACTTTTTCAAAACGTCAATACGCCTATGGATACAGTGTTTTTTTAAGAGCCCAGGTTTTTCGGTGGTTTAAGGTCTTCTCAGAAGGAAGAGAGTCGATTGAAGATGAACCACGCAGTGGAAGACCTTCATCTTTTCAACCGATGAAAATGTCAATCTTGTGCGTTCAGATCGTCGATTGATGACAAGAATGATCGCGGCTCGGTTCATCAGATTTTGACTAACGAATTGGGTATGAGAAAAATCTGCGCAAAAATTGTTCCAAAAAAACATTCGCAGGAACCTTCTTCTCCCCCCATACAAAGTTTCAAGTCCATCGGATCATATGCAGTTGTTCAGTAGCAGTTCACGTGGTAGTATCGAAGTGGTCGCGGTCATAATTTCACGATGCATAAAAATAACGAACAATGGGTTGCGATTATATTTTGCTTTAAAGCCGGTAAAAGACGGAAATGTTTGAAATGTTGAAATTGGCTTATCGTAGATCTGTTATACCTCGTGCTTCTGTTTTTCGGTGGTATAACCTTTTTGCGGAAAGTTGGTGTTTCGCAGACGATCCTGAAACGAAACGCCAAAGTGCTGAGTGGGTCTCCGATAATTCGCCGCGACCAAAAAAGTTTCGTTTTCAATGATAAAAAATTAAGATAATGTTGGTCATTTCTTTTGACTCCAAAGGCATCGTCCACAAAGAATTTGATCGCCTTTGCAAAAAAATTGCGCGTATATGACCCGAGTTGTGGAGAGATCGTTCTTTTTACCTCTTGCACGATAACGCACCAGCGCTTACCGCGGCGATTAACACTCAATTTTTTGCCAAAAAACGATTTCTGTGATCAGCCACCCATCGTACACGCCTGATTTGAGTCCCCCTGACTACTTCCTGTTCCCCAAATTAAAGGTGGACTTGAAATGGCACCATATTGCGTCGAAAGACGAGAAACAAGAAACCGTGACAACGAAGTTAAACAGTATTTCAAAAGAGGAGTTTTATTACTTCTAATATAGACTATTTTGAATAAAAAAATTGTTGAAAAAATGTTTCTAATTGTTTTTGTCTTTTATAGCCACAGTCTTAAAACTTATGGGACACATTGTGTATGTCAATAAACATAGTTTATACTCCTTGTTGTTTAACGGTTTTATAATGACGTAATATCAGAGCTAGAAAAGAACCAAAATACTGTTTAAAGACACTTAAAAAAGTGTACCTTGAATATCAAGGTACTACCTTGAATCCATTAAGTATATACCGGTACTATAAGTATTTTTTAAAATCGTTAAGAATATATTAATTATTAGGTCCTATTATTATTAGGAAATATCTGGCACCCCTAAAATGCGTATCAGAACATTAACGACCTTATTACCGCAAAATATGTTGCTTCGTCCATTGTCGGCTACAAAAATTTATTGCCTACTACTATCTTTTTTGATATTTCTCATGACACGTTGATACATCTTCTAGATTAGTAAAATATATTTTACGCAATGTATGGCTACTAGACAATGGAAAATCGGATAGATATTTGGCAAAAAAACATCTAAAGTGAATATTGTCGACCACGTTTCACAAAATTCCTATATCAGTAATATTTTGTTGATGGATAAATGAATATAAATACACTACACGAACAAAAAAAAATACATAGACGGTGCAAAATATGTATGTACACCCGTTTATTAGTTAATCATTCACGATTACATACAATTATTTTAACGTCGTTCTAACGTTCATCATCGCGCGTCGGGCTAGTACTAAACGAACAACAGAATTATTGCTTCTCGGAAACCCGCATGGGAGCTCGTTGTTAGGCCGGGTGAGTGGCGTTTGTATGCACGGGCAAGAAATACACGCATACACAATTTACAAGGCGCTTAAAAATTGAGGTAGACGAAGCTATGCTGAAGCTAAACTGAGCGTGAATAGATAACTACATGTATGTATGATGTGGTGCTTTCGATTAACACACGATACACATTGCGAAAAGTGAATTTAATATAGGAACTTCGAAAGCGGAGTGTAAAATACAAAACTTGACTCAAATTTAGATAGTTTGCTCAAATTTGAGGCTGCAATTAATAATCGTCTTAAAACCGACGCACAGTGGCTTAGAATCGGAAGATCCTGTGCCCCGGACCGGCAGCAACCGCATGTAACAATTTTTTTCGCGATAAAAGGTACTTATTATGATCAAAATTAGAGAATTGATATATAATTTCTGCTTTAATTTCAACTAAATCTCCTTACCGAAAAAAAAACAGGTGGAGAACCGGAAGTAAAATTTTCTTAAAAAAGCTACATATTTTGATTCGAATAAGATTATTTTTATTTTTCATTAATCAGATTTTAATCTAACTCCTTGAAGAAATGGAGGGCCAAAAGTAAGAACTTTTTGGAACTTACAATTGCACGCAACGTGTCTTCAGTTAAGTTACATTAGGTTACTAAAATTATTTTGTGTTAAAAATTGATCGCAGAGAACATCAGTTACCCACATTGAGACACCCTATATTTCTCCTTCCACAGGTCTATAGTGTACACCAGGTATATACATTTTCCCCCCCCTTGGTTGGGACTTAACTATTGTATTGTATTGGGGATGAACACCTGCTTTGACGCAGGTACAGTTAGAATTGCCCCGAGAACGCTCTATTGGACGCGCCTTTCTATTTTTGCATTTTTCACTGAAATGAGCAGTTTCGAGCAGCCATTTTTTATGAATTTCTTATTCCACTAATATTTCCCACATATTAAATTGTGAATTAGTATTAGAACTCTGTAGATTTTCCTACTTTTCTTTCGCTACCTTAACATGCGTGTATTATAAGCGCAGAGTTAACATTTATTTTCCATAATAAGAAATACAAAAATTTGAATTTCAATGCATAGATAATATTTTACATCCCTTCAAGAGTAGCCTCCATTTTTTTTCAGTCGGAAACACACCTTGTGGTAACAAAAATTCACATCACACGAACGTTGAGTATTTCGGGACCGATTCTCGTACCGTTACGCACTAGAAGGTGGCCAATTTCCGACTGAAGTAGAACGGCAGGTATAAAACCTAGGTAGCTGTCGTTTCAGTATTACACGCAGGAAACCCTGCTTCACAAAGCTATGTGAATTAAAACAGAATATAACGAACTTGGTTTTTCGATTTTTGGCCAGGATTTTCCGATTCTAACCCACTGTGCGACGGTAGGACAAAAAGAAGCCGTTTTCGATGCTCTTTAACATAAAAAAAATTTAATCGATTGGTTTGAAAAATGAGGACATTATGGATTTGGACATTAATAGAAATAGACACCCTGTATAACGTTTTTTATTATGTTTTCAGAAACTGATACCGTCATTATTCTTATATAGTCCGTCATTATTATCTCATTGTATGTCAATAATGTAAGTTCGAATCTGGATCCGTATTTTAGGATCAGCCTGTATGTAGTCCCTCGAGCTTCCAAGGCACACGAACAGTTGGTGTTGCGTCAGACTGCAGGCAGAAACACCGGCGAATCCGGTCACACAGCGCACCGGATAATCGCCATAATGGAGTGGGTGACCGGCAGTAGTTTTCATTGCTGATGAGATCGTGATTGCTCCCGTTTATCATTAGTGGGCATCTAGTTACCTGCGGTACCCTGCAGATCTTGCCGAACATGGCCGTTTTGTTTTCAAATATTTTTAGAACCTACACTTGTAGAGTTGTGTAGATGAGAAGTGTCCCTTACGTTTATAAAAATGAAATATGTGTGCTACAACCAATAGTTCATCTTTAAGGAGCATAAAACACATTATATTCAAATAATATTTTGTTCCAGTAGATAAATAAATAAATAAATCACACCACAGTAATTGACATTCTCCCTCTAAGAGTCATTAAGACTGTGCAGAGGGAGAATACACATGGAAAAGACGTAGGACACACAACCGAACCCTGTAACAGATGCCAATTGCCACAGGCGGGATTCGAACCCGCGCGGATAATAGCTCTCGGAGTAATCGCCACCTTCTCACCTGGCGCTTTACCCGCTGAGCTATCGCCGCGGCTACTTCGCCACCTTCTCACCTGGCGCTTTACCCACTGAGCTATCGCCGCGGCTACTTCGCCACCTTCTCACCTGGCGCTTTACCGACTGAGCTATCGCCGTGGCTACAAATATTAATTCCAATAACACCGTATTTTTTTATTAAGTATAGTAATTTTGTCGAATGTCATGTTTAAAGTTGGCATACGGCAACGCAACACACGGGCAGCAACTCTTGTAGTATGTGTTGGAGGTTGCCTCAATTTGATTTTATTGCAGTAGTTCCGTGTCAGTTGGTGTTGTTGTACAACCTCCGGTATACCTGTACGTAGTACGTTGTGTAGTGTGATATAATTTCTTAAAAACATATGGCAAACGTGCGAAAGGGTTACTAGTTGCTTTCCCCAAACATTTTACCTGGAAGCATATAACGAGTCACAAGTATATATAAGGCGTACGCATCATAAGCATAATACTTGTGACGCGTTCTATGCTTCCAGGTAAAATGTTTGGGGAATCTGGTTTCCATGCCTGAACTTCGAGAAGCACATTTTCCTTAGAATTTTGAACTATCACACTCTAGTACTGCTTCGTTCCTGATTTTTTGGGTTCGAAAATTTACATTTCTATTATCCTAAATTACACGGATTCACTTATCGTAGGAACCCTCAAAATATGATTTAACTTACATTTACTAAGTACTTCAAAGTAATATACATATAAAAAAATATGTTTCCAGCCTTAACTGTATGGGTCTATAATTAGATGACGAAGTGATTTAAAGAAATGTATACAAATAACTGAATTTATTTTTCCACAGAATGGTCGCTTCTGAATTATTAAACTATTGAACACTGCAATGTGCTCAGATTTTATGATGGATGTACTGCTATCTTGGAAACTCTAAGAGATAGGAAAATAGTTAAATTAGCTATAGAAATAGAAAATAGTTAAATAAAGTTGTAGATATTTGAGGAGATTGAGATATACGAAAAACGATTGTTGTAATAAGAAAATAGAGTACTTGGAGTAGCATAACATCCAATCCAGAAAGTCCAAACCTTGAAATCTTAATTCGATTAAATAATTTAAATGTCCCCAAAAAGTTGCCTTAATAACGTATTCATGGATTTGAACATGTTTTAAAAATAAATAAGTTGTGATTTTCGAAAATGCAGGTTTTCGGTTTTTCCAAAATATCACAGCATAATCATTCCCTAAGAGATGTTAAGTTACTCATGAAATTGTCTACAACTTGGCCAATTCCACGGTTTTTTTATCTCTTACAGTTTCAAAGATAAATTCTGGACACGCCCTATAGAGGTCGAGTTGAACGAATGGAACTTTCTCGCGCTATATTGGAAGAAACGGTTTAAATAAATTAATTAACGATATACTAGCAAATTATGTTGTTACACATGCACAGTTGGTAACAAATTAACTCTATTCCTATGCATGATAACGCGTAACCTGATACTGCTCAGAATTTTTGAAATTATTTAGATGACGCTAATATTTAGCTAATGGAGTGGCCGCCGCATAATCCAGATTTAAACCATATCAAGCATGTCTGGGGTATGCTCGATGTCCAATAATTCATTTATCGATATTCAGATTTCATTCCCATTTTTCGTTGTTCTATTCCTGATTGATTACATATGTGCAAAAAACGTATTTCATTTTGACTAGTCAAAAAACCGATAAATCGACGGCTTTTTTAATGAGCCGGATTTGAAAGTACGTTATTTCGTTTCTGATGTGTTCTCAAACGTTTTACGTTTCTAGAGAATAAAAAGCTGCCGTTGTAAAACCATAAAACTCGACTGGTCAAGTTGAAGGAAATCGGATCACCATAAAAAAGAATCGCATCCTAGAAATAAGCCATTCTAATTTATTTTTGTTCGTAGAATAGAACAAATGAGGAAGATAAGGTGTATGCCCTAGGGTAGGCCAAATGCGTATTGCCAATATCCGTCCATCGAGAGGTTTCTGATCAGAAGTATCCATATACATACATAGTTCATGGACGTCGGTATAGGAGAAATTTGAGGCGACTCTTTTCAATATACTGTTTTCTGTGGATACATAACCTTCCATTTTATTTCTTTTTGGAAATGGGAACTACGTTTTACGTGTTTGCGTTCGATGTGGTGTAAAACTTCTTTTACACAATTTTTTTTATATACAATGTGTCCCACTTTTCATAAATCTACCCCAATTTCTGTTATTAATAATACGATTTTGTTCAAATTTGGATGGGCATGCTGTTTTAGGGGGGAGAAAAGGGGATCCATTTTTCCAGAAAATGTATTAGGGCTCATTCTAAATAAATTTTATCGTCTTATTTTGATTCAGAATCCCCAAAAACGCCTTCATCTCCTATTTGAATATGTGAAGAATTGATTAAGGCAGGATAAAATATGAATAACTTTACTTAACTTACTGTATAACTAGTTATTCTGTAGATCTATCTCCTCTATCTTTGTTCATACAAAACCATGTTGCCCGACTCCGCGGCCACAATTACAAACTTAGTCACCAAAACTATTCCACCAATTGTAAACAATTTTATTTTATGTAACGGGGTTTTAAATGAATGGAACGTGCTACTATGCAGTGTTGTTAATACTTCATATGTATATAAACTGTTTCAAAAACAGTGGACAATCTGTTGTATGTTCAAAGTTTTCATTTCGTATGTGTTTCTAATGATGCTCAATTCTGAGCCCAACAAACGTTACATCTGCATCTGCACAGAGAGTCTAACGCTTTTATCAATATCAATATCATCAATTTTTTTGCACCTACCGTACGGCTAAGGCGTATATACCGGAGCGACCCGGCGTCTACAGTCTATGCAAATATAGCACTGCGCTGCTCCGGGCGCAATCAGAACAGCAAATAATAATGTGATTGTTAATATAATTTCTATGAATTTGACTATCGAAGGGGACTTGTGTCCATCGGTGGATAAACAAAACGCTCTATTCGACCGTTATAATGCGAAAGGTCCACACAATTCCAGATGCAACGAAATTCCCCTGCTTGAACTTCGCAACGTTAACGTTAACATCGAAAATGGTAATTTTGCGTCGCCGTGTTTCCATCAGGTTTGACACGCAGGAAAATTTCTCTTTAATGGTCACAAAAATATACTGAGCTGGTGTTATATTACATATACAAGGGTACAACTGAGTTAAAAACTTGGAAACAGTGCTGTTATTAAGAAATAAATTGTTGTATTATATGCAAAATATTTTTAGTTATATATTAAATTAACTTCAGATTAAATACTAATTTCTCATATATTCAGTCTATTATTATACGTAAACATTATAAAATTTGTACAATATACTTCTGCTAAACCATGTGTTTTATTCATAAAATCTTATATCGCTGAATTCTTCTTGAATAAGTAAATAACAACACTTAATATTATACAGTAATAACAATACATAATAGCATACTATCAAAATAGCTATACATAATAAAATATGTATTTCTATTTAAATTAATTCTGTAATTAATAAGATGGCGGCCATGCCTTATACAACTCAAATAATTTGTCTACTAATTGCAGTAAAAGTATATCTAACTATAATCAAAATTGAATGTCGTATCTTCAGACGTTTTTACCATGACACATTACACCGTTTCATAACTTGCTACAAACACTGTATATTATTATAGTAATGGGCTTTTTTATCGATTTGCAAGTAATATTAGGGCCCGACTCTAACGGTAAAACCGTTAAGTTTAGATGAAGTGAGGAAGGTTTCTCATTCTTTGTTATTCGCAAGTCAAAAGTCACAGATCCGGCGGGATCTGGTGGGATCTAATAAGATCGAAAATCTTATTAGATCCCACCAGAACCTCCTCTCTTCATCTGAGCTTCACGGTTTTATCTATCGTTAGACTGCTTCGTCGAAGCTTCGTACTAGAAGACGATACTATGAAGGTAATGCCAAAGTATGCTGACACGGTCGTTCTTTGATACACGCCGTCAAAATGTCACACCGACGAGATCTAATAAGATTGAAATCCGGAACTGTGACTTTGAACGTGCGAGTAACAAAGAACGAGGAACCTTTCTGACTTCACCTGTGTTCTTAGTAAAGTGGTTTAAATTCGATCATCTAACCACTTTGATAAATAATTTTCTATAGCTGGAAACCGTACATTTTATGTATAGCTTAGGGCTCGGCTCATCATGGTGTTCACCCAGGTATGCTGACCTCTCTAAAAGGGGCTTTTTTCCTCGGTGGGTCCTCTTAAATCTTGGGTTAGACACAGCTCCCAAATGCCGTTTCTGACCTTATTGGGGCAGGAGGAGGCTTCCCACCCCACCATTCACCCTTCATTGGGCTTTAAGGTGACAGCTTAAGGAGCCGCCCGTCTAATGTCTCTTCGGTCATACCCAGGAGACTTTGAGTTAATCTTAACCAAGGCCCAGTAAATTTGGCCTTCCCCTGCAACCGGGGCTGCCATGATTTTTCGAACCCTTGTTTAGGAGCTCTTTCATGGGAAACCCCCATTATAGGGGACCCAATATAGGTTAGGTCTGGGTACCTTTGTCTTGCCTCTTTTTCCACACTATTTATTATATACTTTACGTTAGAATCTTTTACAGTCAAGGACGAGTCGCGATTGACAATTTGACAAATTCTAGTATGTCTAGGAAAAGATAATTAATCATAAAATATAGTATGTTTTATTTAAAATGAGCGACTAAAATAAATCGGCGACATCGGCCAGTTATGAAAAAGGACAAATATAAGTGAGACGACAGATAAGAAACAACCGCACACGCATCGAAGGTAGTGAGGGAATAAGACCGGCCCTTCTCACCACTTGCGCTTGTCGTTAGAAAAAGAAGAGTAGCAGTTGTCCTGTTTCACAGCCGACCGATGTCGGCTTTACACAAACTGTATATACATAGTATATACACTATTTACACATAACTTCTTATGAAACGGAAATATTAAAAAATAGTACTTAGAAAATAAACTTCACCTTAGATCTTTCCAACGATACCATAAAACTGGTGTTTCTAAAACAAAATAAATAAAAACAA